TTTGTAAACGCCGCCTGTGTAAAAGCCGCTTTGTTTTAACAACACCTGTGTGTCTGCGCATCTTTGCGCAACAGAATCTGTGTGTAAAGGCTTTGTATGCCGAAAAGCATCTGTGCGCACAGGCGCTTGAATGTAAAGGTGCCTGTGTGTGTACCATCTGAATGGATGTAAAACTTCTTATTATCGCAGGGGCGTGTGGCACTCATGTCCTACCACACGCAATGAAGCTGTGGGCATGAGTGGGAAGGGAAACGTGGCCGGTTTCATGTACCTGCAGATATATTCATATTTATAGATGTATAGTTCCGCCCTGGGCGCATTTAAGTCACAGCTGAGGGGGACGTATAGTATATCAGCTGTTGTTTTATACCGTCAACGTCTACTGTGACTATATATTTGCATCTCTATATATTTAGGTCCATCTCATAGTGTCATGTTGTTGCGTTGCTGTTTTTTCCACGTCTGATGCGTTCCACAGCAAAAATCGCAACGACAGTTCTGATCAAGTGTGTTACTCATGTCGGTTCGTCAAGGTGACATGAGCCCTTCGGGGAATATCTGTCTAGGTAGGATGTTTGATCCTCCGACCTGATCTCTGAATTTACACTTTTAATCTAGTATTTCGTCTACGTAAAGTGAAACAGCCGGCAGTTTTTTCACTTTTCACCCTGTCGTTTGTCGTTGGTTCAACAACTGGCCGCAGTACCGGGCTTCGCCCTCTTTCGCTTTTCACCCTGTCGTTTGTCGCTGGTTGAACAACTGGCCGCAGTACCGGGCTTCATTTCTTTTTGTCAGGCGTGGAAACCTCCTTTTTCCAACGTTGCTCGAGAGACAGATCGCTGTCACTGGTTTTCATACAACATGTCAAGTGCAGGCACAGGTCATGCTTTCCAGGTGTGGTGCTTACTTTCTTTTGATGGTCATTGGTGAGGTTCAATTGTGCACTCAATTCATCTGGGGACTACTGACAGCCGTCTATAGGGGCGACTTGAAAACCGAGGGCCTTGAGCCTTATCACGACACTTTGCAATAGTTTTGTGGTTGCATCATTTTTCACTAACTAGTACCCCATTGGTCCCCTATCTCATGCGTGCTCCCGTGTTAGGTCAGGTTGGGGTCCTTCGCGTGCCAAGGTAGGTTTGGCTCTCGCCTTGTAAGTTGTGTCAGGCGCTTCTGTCCGACCCCTCCTCCTCTGGTCGGTTTTTGGCCCGTCGTCCGTCCGCTTTTTCTTTTTTCCTTGCCCTTTCAGGGTTTGCCCGTTCTGGGCTAGGTGTGTTGGTGTTGGTGTTTTCTCCTTTTTTCCTTTCTTCTTTTGCGTTCCCCGTCTCGTGTCCCGGTTAGGCAGTCTGTCATCTCATGTTCGTGTCCATCTCATTTTCATTGTCACTTCATCCACCCTGCTGCGGCAGGGCGTGTGTGCGTGTGTGAAACGTCTGAAGAGATGTAAAACTTCTAACATTTGGTTTGCATTTAGTTTCAGCAGGGGGCTGCAGGGAATGTCATAGTTCTGCAGCCAACAAAGACGTCTATGACATTCTGTGATATCGATCTGGGACGCTGGATCGACGTACCTGCTTCATTTTTCATGACAACTTTTTGTGATGGGATGTGGCAAACCCAAGAACCACCATGCCGTTTTCAAACAACTTGATTTTGCTTCTTGCATTTTTGCACGGTTTTCGCAATCTGTCAATTTTGGGAGCGATATGGCTTGGTTGAAAGGGAAGGGTCAGATTCCAATTTTTCCATTCTGCACTGGCTATGGCGATGGTAGCTTCTTGATACTTTGTCGGGTCTCTTCACCGACCCATTCTTGTCAGGTGCAATTGGAGTGTTTTTGCATGTAAGATGCATTCCACAACAAAATTCGCAATGACAATTCTGAGCAAGTGTGTGACTCATGCTGGATTCGTCATGGTGGCATGAACCCTTCGGGGAATACCTTTCTAGGTAGGAAATTTGATCCTCCGACGTGACCTTTGAATTTACAGTTTTCAGCCTAGTAATTCGTTTAAGTAAAGTGAAACAGTCGTTCATCTTTCAGACTAGCTGAGAATGTCTTTTCGAGGCTCAACTTTCGATGCCCTTTTGGTTTGTGGAAAAGTGTATTTTTTCCCGTGGCATTTTCACATAGTGGCATGGAAACCATACAACATAGAATGCCGTAAGGAATGAAAGGAAGACTGCAGGAAAAAAAGGAAGGAAATCAAAAGATGAAATTGCAGAAAAGGCAGGGAGCGGAATGGAGCGCACATGGAAAATGAACAGAAAAAGCGCCAAGGGAACAACAAGGACAAAGGCAGGGAAAAAGAAGAGAAAACCAGGTATATAATATAATTCAACGTTTCACCTAAAATGGCAACAATTCTCAGATTTCGACATATTTCAACAGTCAGTAGCAAAAAACACCAGTAAAACTAATTGAGAATGCCTTTTTGGGGCTAAACTTATATTGCCTTTTTGGTCTTCGGAAAAGCGCAATATTTCCCTAGTGATATTGAAAAAGGGGCATGGAAACCATTCAATAGAGAACGCCGCTCATTTTGGCAGTACTAAACCAGTTCAAATAAGCTGAAATCTTGGCGGTAGCGAAAAGCTGTAGCATGTTCTGCAGCATGCGCAAGGAAATACATGCTTAACCATTCTTGGCTGAACTTAGAATGACGTAGTGAGACTGAATGAGTATGAATGAATAATATTAAGGGATTATTGGAGCGTAGACTGTCGCAAAGAGCCGTCCAAAAACCCAAACCTGGGGAGGGATGCCTTTTTTTATTTGGAATGTTTTGGAAGCCAGCCGCTTTGACATTTTCTTAACATCTTGCTTGATCTTGTTTGAGACTTCAGCTTTTATGTTTTTCCCCATTTTGGTTGGCCATAGCGATGAAAATTGAGCTTTGACTTGGAACTTAGAATGCCAGCATAGTAGCTCCAGCTTGCCATTTCCTCAGAAGGATCAAAACGAAAGAGAACCCGGAAACGAAAGGACAAAACTGGACACATGGAGGGACAGGAAGGATAACCAAAAAAGAAGTACGGGAACTGGAGGATAATGAGGAAACAAAAGGAAAGGACGAAAATAAGGATAGAAAATTACAAGAGGAGACAAAATCGAAAAGGAACCAAAAGGATCACGCAAGGAAAATGACATTGAAATGCAGGGAAATCAATGTAACATGAATGAAGAAGAAAAACATATGAACGATAAAGAAAAATGAAAAGACAGAACCGGAATGAAAATAAAACAGGGCACCCAAAGGACAAAAACACCGAACGTTTGAAATCTCTGGGGAATGGGAAAACAACGCAAGCGCGTGCATCCACAAGGGTTTTAGGAATCCGACTGGTGGTTGACCCACCACAAATTTGGGGAAATGCTTGGAATCATATGGAATTAATAAATTAAATATTCATGGTTTATACAATATGAATCTGAATATGTTTTTTTAATATAAATGTCTGAATGTCCGAAAATGGAGACAAACAAAAGGAAATTTTGGGATTAACGGATTGAAATGTAGAACCCATCCCATCACAGCAAAATGAAGCAAAATAGTGAACATATATGAAAAGGCATTCTGATTTACCCCAAAAGAATATGTTTTTTGTAGGGGTTCTAAATTGGGGGCCGAAAAAATGGAAAACTGCGTGCGGTGCCAAGTTTCAGCTTATATATATATACATATAAACAGCATATTTATTTAGTATCCAAGGAAAAATAAAATCTAATGAAAACACAAAGAAAACCAGCGAACACCAATGAACAACTAAAGAAAAATGAATGAACAATAAAGAAAATCAAAAGGAAAACCAAAGGAAAACTACAGAGAACCGTTGCAAAAAAAATGACAACCAATGAAAAATATACGAAAACTTCAGAAGAACGACAGAAAAACCAAAGAACACCCAAGAAAAACAATGAAAAGCAAAGAACAACAAATGAAAGTTATTAAGAACCAAAGAAAAATCAAAGGAACAAAAACAATGAGAACCATAGAAAAACCAATGAACAACCAAAGAAGGAACAATGAAAAACAATGGAGAACCAGCGACAATTTCGCCAGCATTCTAAATTACTTTTGGCCGGGGACTCTTTGCCCCTGTTTTTTCGAGTTTTCCATCTTTAATGGGGAAAGAAATAAGAGACAGTTTTGAAAGAAAAAGGGAACCTTTCTTGAGGTGTCTCGCAGACTGAGTGTTCACGAAACCCTGTAAATATGCAGTGAATTGCAATTTTCGTCGCATCTGTGCTTGAAACAGGGTTATTTTTCTGTTTGCTGCTTTTTGGATACCCTTATGGAGGAAAACACGCCGGCCGAGGAGGGGGGGGGACTTAGCATGCCTTTTTTTAACCTAAAATATGCAATGGTTTGATGCATTGACTCACTGAAACTTAGAATGTCCCCTGGCCGGTATTCTCAAATACCCTAAAAACAGTGTTTTTGGCGGCATTCTAAATTAAAAAATCAAAATTTTGGAAAACTGCTCAGCATTCTAAGTTCCAGTGTGCCACTAAATATATCTACATTTCTATATATTGAGGCCCATCTCATCGTGTCATGTTGCGTTGGTGTTTTTTGCACGCCTGATGCGTTCCACAGCAAAATTCGCAACGACAGTTCTGATCAAGTGTGTGTTAAAGTTTTCGCGCGTAGAAACTTCTGCATAAGGTTCAAAGGCAAGCCTTTGTGTCTAAAAGCTTCCTGCGTGTCAGTGTAAAAGCCCGGTTTCTCCGTGTACAAGCTTTGTGTGCGAAAGCACCTGGCTGTAAAAGTAAAAGCTTCAGTTTGTAATGCTCTTGTGTGTGAAGGCACGCGTGTGTAAAAGCTTTTGTTTGTAGAAGCACCTGTGCGCAAAAGCTTCTGTGTAACAAGCGTTTGTGTTTGCATTTTCGTGTGAGTGCAACTCTTTTTTGGAAGCTGCATTTGGGCCACAGTGCTCTAGCCATCTTCTGATCATGTTTAGAATTGTTTCCATGCAAAATTAGCTTCAGTACCAGGGTGGAAGCGCGGCAAGGAGCGAAAGCCGGTCAAAAGATTGCAGCGGCGACCGGGACGCAGTCTTAAGAAAGATTTTTCTCGGCATTTGAATTTGCCATCCACCATTGAATCAAATTCGCTCTCTGAGATGCAAGTCAGCTTTGAGGTAAGGATGTGGCGCTTGATGTCACAAGCTATGTTTGTGCTGCAGCGCACTTCATTCGATGCGAAGGTCCCACAGTTCGAACCTTGTGGAGGAGGAACGAGGAGAAAGCCGTCCTCTTTTGGAAAGCCAAGCCCAGCTCTGAGCTGCTTGAGGATACAGCTGCCGCAGATGCCGAAGCCGCCTTGCATCAAGCTCTTTCAGATGGGCTTTCGACCGAATCACTGGCAGAGGGTTTGGCGCTTGCCTTGGCCCGCTTTAAATTGTCTTCTATCCAGATCGAACCCATTATCCAGAGCTCTTTGGACCAGCTCGGCGAAAGCCTTGAACGAGGAAATCTTTCCGAAGAAGAGTTTGACGTCACCTGCTACAGGAATGTGTTTATTGCTGCATCGGACGAGCTACGACGAAAGTCTTTGATCAGTTGAAGGTTTACAATGTGGATGAATTCGTTTTAGCATTTCAAATTTTGCAATTAATTCGCGCCGGAAAAATTTAAGGATTGAACCTAGTGTTTTCGAGCTTCGGCGCGAGGCCAGCACTCTTGATTTTGTTTGTATTGTGTTGCATCGCGCCTGTAACTCATTGGGGGGGCAGCGAAGAATCTGGATTGAAAACACGCTTTCGTGACCCCGACGTGCCTGCAGAACTATTTCAATGCTGCGATCGTCTCGGCACCCAGCCAAGCCAAGAACCGTTTCAATGACGATTTTTGGGGTGCATGTTGTGCATGTCTTTGGGTTGTGGGTAAGGCTTTGTTTTTGAGAATTTCTGCAAGGCACACATTGGAAAGCACCATATTTTGGTTTATTCCTTTGATCCTCATATAATCCCCATCCTGGAACCTTAAAAATCTTCATCCCTTTTTTAATCCCCATTTAAGCCTCATCCTGGAACCAAAGAATCTTCATCCCTTTTTTTAATCCTCACATTGTCCTCATTCTGGAACCTCGAAAAATCATCATTCCTCATTTTATCCCCATTCTGGAACCAAAAAATTCATCTCTTTTTTTAATTTCACACTGTACTCATTCTGGAACCTCGAAAAATCCTCATTCCTCATCTCTTCATTCTGGAATCTGACCAAATCCTCATTTCTCATTTCATACTCATTCTGGAACCGGACCAAATTCAACCAATCCCCCTTCAAAAACCTTACCAAATCCTCAGTCCTCGGGTAATTCTTTTTTCTGGAACCTCATGAACCTCATCAAATTCTCATTCCTCGGGCAATCCTCATTCTTGAATTTTTGAAGCCCCTACGCAATTACTTTTCTTTATCCTGGAACCTCACCAAATTTCCATTCCTGATTGAATCCTGATTCTGAAATTTCATAACGCCATCATGCGTTCCGTGTTAATAATCTTCATTCTACAACCTCATGACGTGCTTAATCCTTCTTTATTCCTCGTTCATAACTTCCTCATTCCTCATTCAATCCTCATTTTGAAACCTTGCTTCCTCAGTTAATCCACACCTCATTTAACCTTCATTCCCCATTGTATCCTGATTCCGCGAACCTCACCAAAACTCATTCCTCAAATCAAATGCTGTTGGAAACTTAAAAGATTTTCACTCAATCTTCTTGATGCAAACTTCCATTCCTTGCAATCTGCATTGCCTTCGCTTATCCTCATTACCCAACCTCTTGAAATCTTTTGTGCCTCATTCAGTTTTCGGTTTTTATTTGTCACGTAATGCCCCATCTGGAACCTGATGTATGTCTGACTCTTCATCGAACCTTGGTTTCGGAATTTTATTTTATCCTTGTTCTGTGTACCTTGAACAGTTCAACATATTGACATCTTCATTCTGATTCTTGTTGATGCCCTCTCATTCTATTTGGTTTTGGTTTGTTTGCGTCGCTTCCTCCAACTTCTTTCGCACCCGTGTCCTCGAGCGTCTGTTCGTGTACCATTTGTTTAAAGCACACCAGTCCCCAGCACACTGCGTTCTTAGTATATAAGTTAAATGTTGGGATAAATTACGACCCGAAGTGAAAAATGCATCTGAAACCTTTAGAAGATAAATATGCTATTTCCCTGCAGAAGCTGAAAGGTTTTTCCATGTTTTGCCAATCGCAAGCTTGGCCAATCCAGTGTGCCAAAAACTCTCCGAACCGCAAACAGTGTTCCACCGCAAACAAAATTCTTTCCAGACACTGCAGTGGTTCATAGCAACGCTTTGCCGAAGTACATGAGCACAGGTTTGTCCATATGTCCATATGGCTTTGGCAAAATTGGGTCAATTAGTTTGATCGTCTATGCTAATCAAATTGTTCAGAAAACGGCCGTCGAAATCCGCCGGCCTGCCGGCGGGTTTTGTGGATGTTCTTCTGATACATCTTTAGCTCAGCTAAGCTCTTGCTAATGTTCCTCTCCGGGGAAAAAAAAAAAACCGGGGGGGGAGATTTTTGGTTTGTCTGCCCCCACCCCCCACTCCCCTCCTCACCTCCCCCCTCCCCGCATTTGTATGCATGTATGCATGCATGCATGCATGTATGTATGTATGTACGTACGTACATATGTTTGTTTGTTTGTTTTGTTTTGTTTTGTTTTGTTTGTTTGTTTGTTTGTTTGTTTGCTTGTTTGCTTGTATACATATATGTATGTGTGTGTAAATGTATAAGTGTATGCAAATGTATTTGTCGACGGAAATTTAGAAGTCAAACTTCCGACAATATGGACAGATGAAAAGCAGAGATGGGAAGAGTTAGAGAAGAGAAGAGAAGAGAAGAAAGAAGATCAAAAAGAGAAAGTCCCGAAGAAAGAAGATCCAGGTGCGCGAAAAGATAGGAAAGCCGCGACGCATTGTGTTTTCCCAATGATTTGTGGCTCCGGAGGGTCGAAAAGTAGGCTCGCTAAAGCGGCGGGCGCGGAGCCATGTGATGAGATGAGAGATGAAAAGTTGCACGCCGTTGTGGCGCGAGGCACATGTCCAAGTGAAACTGCACAAAACACCGCATGTTCGGACCACTTTTGGAAGTTGAGAGGTCGAAAAAGTGCACACCGTTGCGGCGCGAAACACATGTCGAAGTTTAAATGTACAAAACACCACATGTACGCGCCACTTTTGGGCGTTGAAGCGTCGTTTTGCGTGGCAGGCACAAGGGATTGCGTACCTTGTCAAAAGTGAGCAAAACGTGAGGGTTTCGTCGCATTTCCAAAAACGATGGCAGGCGTGGGGCATTTGAAGAGGGTCTGCAAAGAGGCATTTTCCGTGGCAGGCGCAGTGCAAGAGATATGTTCATCAGAGCTGTTAGGAGGTCCGGGCGCTGATTTCCTGAGAGGGGTTGCATTTTGGAGCATCAGATCTGTAGGGTTTGCTAAGATGAGTTTGCGTGATAGGTGCAGGACTCCGTATGACCTGGCATCACTTTTTCGTATCAGGCGCAGTACTTTAGACAGGTGGAAAGGAAAAATGGCAAAACACATTGGCACGAGGGCGTCAGCTCTGCACTCAGCTTTCCATTTTTGAAGGAAGTCTCGCAGAATTGCTTCGTTTTTGACGTTGTCAAGCTCAAAAATTGAGGAAGTCTCGCAGAATTGCTCCGTTTTGGATGTTGTCAAGTTCAAAAATTGAGGAGGTTTCGTTTTTGACGTTGTCAAGTTCAAAAGTCTCGCAGAATTGTTTCGTTTTTGACGTTGTCTAACTACACTACACTACCCTAATTACATCTAATTACACTACACTACACCAATTACACTAATTACAACAACTCCTACTACCACAACTACAACTACAATTACAACTTCACTACACTACACTAATTATATCTCATTACACTACACTACACCAATTAAATTAACTACAACAACTATTACTACCACAACTACAAGTACAATTACAACTTCACTACGCTACACTAATTACACTGCAGCACGCTACAACTACAAATACAACTGCAACCACACTACATTACACAACGCTACACTACACTGGTTACATTGCATTTCACTGCAACTGCGGATGCAACTGCAACTACAACAACTACCACTACGTTACACTCCACCACACCACACCACACCACACTACACGCACTGCACTGCACTACACTTCACTACACATACTACACTTCACTACACTGCACTACACTACATTACACTTCACTACACGACACTACACTACACTACACTAATTACACTGCACTACACTACAACTCAACTACACTACACTATACTAAGTACACTGCACTACACAACTTCACCACCTTACACTAGACTAGACTACACTATACCACATTACACTGCACAGCACTACACGACATTACGCTGCACTACACTACACTAATTACACCACACCACGACACAACTGCAACTGCACTTGCAAATACACTAATTACATTACATTACAGCTACAGCTTCACTACGCTACACCACAACTACAGCTACAGCTGCAACTACAACTACAACTGCACTACACCACACTACATCAGGCAGTTGCGGTAAGGTGACCACTGCAACCATTGCAACCATTCCAAAAAACACAACTCCAACCACGCGTCGGTCCATCAGTGGATTCGCTCTGCCATCCGTGATTCACAACAACCAACCTCTCCTATAGGTTTCCTATTTTTGAAACCTCCGCCACCGCCTTGCGCGGTACTACTGGTATATTTTATATATATATATATGTGTGTGTGTGTGTGTCTCTTTTTAAATTTGCATATGTGTATTCATTTGAATATGTTTATGAACATGTATCCGTGATGATTTGTGTATGTATATTTATCGAAGGAAGTTTAGAAGCCAAACTCTTCTGACAATATGGACAGGATGAAAAGCAGAGATGGGAAGAGTCAGAGAAGAGAAGAGAAGAGAAGAAGAAAGAAGATCAAAAGGAGAAAGTCTCCGAAGAAAGAAGATCCAGGTGCGCGAAAAGATAGGAAAGTCGCGACACATTGTGTTTCCCCAATGATCTGTGGCTCCGGAGGGCCAAAAAGTAGGCTCGCTAAAGCGGCGGGCGCGGAGCCATGTGATCAGATGAGAGATGAAAAGTTGCGCGCCGTTGTGGCGCGAAGCACATGTCCAACTGAAAATAAACAAAACACCTCAGCTTCGGACCTCTTTTGGAAGTTGGGGCGTCGAAAAAGTGCACGCCGTTGTGGCTCGAAGCACGTTTCGGAACACTTTTGGACGTTCAGATGTCGTTGTGCGTGGCAGGCGAGCAAAACGTGAGGGTTTTGTCGCAGTTTCCAAAAACGATGGCAGGCGTGGGATATTTGAAGAGGATCTGCAAAGAGGCATTTTCCGTGGCAGGCGCAGTAGAAGAGATATGTTCATCAGAGCTGTTAGGAGGTCCGGGCGCTGATTTCCTGAGAGGGGTTGCATTTTGGAGCATTAGATTTTCAATTTTGGGAAGATGATTTTGTGTGACAGGTGCAGGACTTCGTATGACCTGGCATCACTTTTTCGTGGCAGGCGCAATACTTTAGACAGGTGGGGTGGAAAAAACGCAAAACACATTGGTACGAGGGCATCAGCTCTGCACTCTGTCTCGTTTTTTGAAGTTGTCAAGTTCAAAAATTTGAGGAAGTTTCGCAGAATTGCTGTGTTTGCAAGCTTGCAGGTAGGTAGACAGACAGGCTGACAAACTGATAGATAGATAGATAG